GACTTGATCCCATGACCCTGGGATTATGACCTGAGCTGAAATCAAGAGTTGGACCCTCAACTGACTGAGCCACCCAGGCGCCCCTGTTTTAATTTCATTTTCCTGTAGAGCCTGAAACTGTTGATTTTCAGCTCATGTTCTACAGTTGCTTGAGGGCAGTATCTTTGCAAGCAGAGAGGAAAAGAGAGCTGAAGATCTTAACAGTGTTTAAACCTTTCCTCTACTCGGTGGATGTCTGATATCTGATCTGGAGTCAGACTTCATAGCCAGGGATAAGGGCAGGAACAAGAGACCACGGAAAAATTTCCTCTGGTAGAAATATTTTCCAGTGCTTATTTCAGAAGCAATTTAAGCTTCTGAAACTTGAGCTGCAACTGGAAATCCCTAACCCAGCATGTAAGTCGCCATCCAAATTGGTGGCCTGGAATTTAGATTCATGTGTTGGGAATCAGAATGTGCCGAGGAGTAGCCAGTGACTTTGACCGGCCACCAGGCACGTCCCATTAATGGCAGGCATTTGCACAGGAATGTTGTGCCTGTCACCAAGGGAAAACACACACAGTATTCTTGTTTGAGGCATTCTGTTTCAGAGGGAGAAACTAAGGCCTGGCCAGTAGATCCAAGCTGGAATGGGTCAGCTGTAATATCGACTGGGCCCTGCTAGTCGGTCAGTGAATGTTCCTTGAGTGCTTTCCACGTGCCAGTGATAGACATTGCAAATGTAGTAGTGAGAAAACCCTCGAGCCCCCAGGTGCCAGGAGCTTCCATGCTGCTTGGAAAGAGACAAGCAAGAGCACCCCAAGAAATAAATGCTTTAAGAGATCAGCAAGTGCACTGAAGAAAATAAAATGTGATCATCAGGGACACTGCTTGACCTCGGTGTCCAGAGAATGCTGCTTAGAGGACGTGGCCTTCACATCTGGCCCAGAATGACACAATATACCAGCGTCAGTGTTGGAAAGATCTTGCGCAAGACCCAAGCCCGACAAACAACAAAACTAATGTCCAAGAGATGAAGGAGAGTCAGTGTGGTTGGAGCAGAGGGAATGCCCAGAGTCCTCTGAGCTCCTATATTTGCTAAATTGTTAGCAGTGGTCACAGTGTCTTATAAGCTTTAAAACTTTTATTGTGCTTCTTGGAGTTGCTTTTATGTAAACCATTGCATTTGGTTGGATGTGCTTGCTTAGTCATATGGAGATACTGTAAAGAATTCTGGGGGCGCCTGGGTGGCTCAGTCAGTTAAGCATCCGACTTCAGCTCAGGTCATGATCTCACAGCTCCTGGGTTTGAGCCCCGCATTGGGCCTCTGTGCTGACAACTCAGAGCCTGGAGCCTGCTTCAGGTTCTGTGTCTCCCTCGCTCTCTGCCCCATCCCCCACTTGCACTCTCTATTTCTCTGTCTCTCAAAAATGAATACATGTTAAAAAAAATTAAAAAAAAAAAAAGAATTCTGTAAATTAAGGTGAATCTTAACATGAGCATGACCCCCTTGGAGGGAGGCTCCTGGTATAGGTGGGCAGTGGGGACATTTCTACTCTGGAGAACCCGTGCAGGTTGGCTGGAGGTAGAGAACACAGTGGCCAGTGGCCATAAACAGATGAGCTCAGTGGGGAGGGAGCGTCATGTACCATCGGAAGCTGGCCCACTCCCTGAACAATCTCAGTGAGCTCTCATGCTTCCTTCCATGTACTGATGAGTCCATGTACTGATGAGTCCTTCCATGTGTCCACAGACATGTCAAAAGCAGCATGCCATGAGGGAAAGATATCTTCCCTGTAAATCCTGTATCCACTTCTGAATTCTCTCATCTGAGTTACTGGCTACAGCTCTGGCCCCTAAACTGGAAACGGGCGGGTTGTGTACACTCCACACCCCTACTCTAGGCTTGGTGCCTTTGCCTCTGCTGTCCCTCTGTGGGTCGCCTTTCTCCCAGGTCAAGGCTAGCCAGACCCTCCTCCAGGAAGCCTTCCTTGTTCTCTGCCAGGGCCAGGCTTCTCTCTGCATCTTGGCCTGTCTACTTGGTACCCTGCACATTGTATTCTGACTGTGGTCTGACTGTGGCCTCCAAGAGGCGGTGAGCTCCTCCTGGGCTGGGACCATGTCCCAGTCCGGGGTACCCTCGGCCACCCACATATTGTAGGGCTTGATCACTGTGTGGTAAACAGATGAGCAGCTGAGCCGTCCATGTTTATAAGCAGCGAATTTAGCTGTTGGCTTGTTATCATCAAAAGGACATCGAGGGAAGACTAATTCCAAACATGGGCAACTGCTTTCTTCTTTATATTCCTCTGAATTTGTTCATATTCCTTACATGAAGCCGCTATCATGATTTTTAGAATTTTTTTGGTGAAATGTACATAACGTAAAATTTATTAATTTAACCATGTATAGGCATGCATCTCAGTACATCTATATCAACGTGCAGCCATCACCGCCATCGATCTTCAGAACTTTTTGGTCATCCCCGACTGAAACCCTGTACCCACCAAACAACAGCTCCCCTTTCCCTCCTCCCCCATCCCTGGTAACCACCATTCTACTTTCTGTCTCTTTGAATTTGACTACTCTAGGTATCTGATATAAGTGGAATCATAACAATACTTGTCCTTCTGTGTCTGGCTTTTCATTCAGCATAATGTCTTCAAGGTTCCTCTATGTTATAGCATGGGCCAGAATTTCCTTCTTTTTAAGGCTGAATAATAATTCCATTGCATGCAGGGTCACCTGGGTGACTCAGTCAGTTGAGCGTCTGACTCCGGCTTAGGTCATGATCTCAAAGTTCATGAGTTTGAGCCCCACATCAGGCTCACTGCTGTCAGCTCAGAGCCTACTTCGGATCTTTCTGCCCCTCCCCTGCTCACATTTGCTCTTAAAAATAGAATAAACATTAAAAAGAAATAATCCTATTGCATGTATACACCATATTTGTTTATCCATGCATCCATTGATGGACATTTCAGTTGTTTCTACCTTTTGGCTGTTGTGACTAATGCCTCTATGAACATGGGTGTGCAAGTATCTGTTCCAGTTCCTATTTTCAACTCTTTTGGGTATGTGCCCAGAAGTGAAATTTCTGGATCATATGATGAAATCAGCTGTACAATTTAGAAATATTTTTAATAGTTCTGAATTGGTTATTTCAATTCAAAGCAGAGGTTGATTTTGGATGGGACTAAGCAGAAATGCAGGCTGACACGTCAAACTTTTGTTCTCGGGACTTGGCTAATGCTTGGTGACGTGAAATGATTTGTTCTCAAGTGTGGTTTCCATTTTTTCTTACAGCATCAAGCTTCTAGCTGTGCAGGAACTACTTGACAGAGAGGCCCTGGAAAAGGTAAATACTTTGTTCTTTCTACCCCACGTTCACTAACTTAGAGCGGAGTGCCACACGCAGGAGAAATTCAGCTTCCTGTCGCCAGGGACAGCACTTACTGCAGAGTGGCTCTGTTAGTTTGTGTTCTTAACAGTCAGAGAACCATACAGAATTTTCACCAAAACTCCCCACATTGCTCACATCCTGTTACAAACTCAGCCTTGCAAGGCTCCTTCGGGGCTGTGTGACAGCAGGGACTCGCCATGCAGGCTTTCTGTTCCTCTTAACACCGTGCAATGGGCCAGACTCCATGCTGGCCGCCGCACATCATTTCTGCTTGTGGCTGTTGCCATCTGGGCTTACGGACGGTAGAATGGAGGCCCAGCGAAGTTAGGTAACTTGCCCAAGGAAAATTAGCTAAGTGGCAAAGTAAAGATTTGAACCTCTTGGTTCCATTTCCGAAATCAGTGCTTCTGTTCGGCAGGCAAGTTCACGAGTTTGATCTTTCTAGGCTGTTTGTGAAGATTAGCAAATTCCCTCCCCACCTGAAACTTAGGTTTCACTGTGTTCTGGAAGAGATATCCAGTGTCTCAGCTTTCTGTGATCAAGCCAAGCACACATCTGGGGATCCTTTGCCAGTTATGAGTTCAAGTTCTATGCACATGGTGGTGCAGGCTCTGGAAAACAGATTGGGCAAGGCCAAGGGCCAGCCCATGGGCCTCCCAGCTCATACCAAGCTGCTCTCCTGGGGCACCTCAGACTCTTCCTCAGTATGTAGCTATGGGCAGTAATTAGAATCTATAATGTTAACATAAAAGAAAGTGGTTAGAGATATAAACAGTGAAGCAATATTATTGTATTTATAGAATTTTAAATGTTTGGATTGGCGGTCAGTCTGCTGGTTGGCATGAAAACAAAGTGTTTAAGCACCAAGCAGTGATGTGAGGGGAGGGGATGCTGAGCTCTGGCTCTGAATGTAACATTCCTTCAGCCTCATTTTCATCACAGGGATAATGCTGCCTGCCTGACCTCAGAGAGGCACCACGAGAACCAAATGAGTTGGTGTCGTGGAAGGGCTTTCTAAATGCCAAAGCACTCGACTCATATTAATTCTTAATTACTTGTATTAATTCTTAATAGACATCCAGCCATTAAAACGTATGAGGTCCAGCTCGAAAAGGCATCCTTGGGCCAAATGACAATGTTGGATGTGGATTGTAGATTAGATTAAAGTATTAGATCAACGTGAACTTTTCCCGGAGTTGATGACTAGTACGTGTAAGAGAATGGACTTATTCTTAGGAATTATACACTGGGGTATTTCGGAATCAAGGGGTGTGCTGTTTATAACTTATTCTCCAATGATTCAGAACAAAATAGTGGAGATCTATGTGTGCATATGTGAGCCAGAGGGGGAAAGAGCAAGTATAAATGATAAAGCAAATGGGGCAGAGTGCAGGTGGGTGGCCCTTCCGGGTGAAGGAGTATATGAAGATTCTTTGTATGTTCTTGAAACCTTGTAAAAGTGCGCTCTCCAAAAACAGTTTTTCTTCTCAGTATTCTCTACAGTTTTTTGTTTGTTTGTTTGTTTGTTTTGGTCTTCAATTAGGGAAACTGCAGAAACCATCCGACAAAGCTCATAAACATGTGGAGTCCGTGTGCTAAGGTGTATCAGTATAATAAAAACACAGGCAACGATTAGGTCTTTAATGCTGTGTTAATATTCAGTTTGGAGAAGCCGCACAGGCAAGCCAATTTGGGGTGCTAACTGCTTGTGGAATATAGCAGAGAAGGGGGTCAGGGCTTGCTGTGGGGGGTAGCAGTGCTGCCCTGAGGGTTAAGTGTTGAGGCTGCTGTGAAGAGGGGTCTATAATGTGCAGCTCAAGCAGCCTGGGCCCAGAGCCTGCCTCCTCCTTCCTCACTGGGGTGTCTTGGGTTAGTAACCCTCTTGTGCTTCAGTTTCTCAGTCTATAATGTGGAAATCTTTATAATCCCCAGTTCACAGAGGTTTTGAGAAGATGAAGTTACGTCAATGTGAAGGACTTAACTCTGTGCCCGGGGCTCAATGATCCCCATAAGTTACTGGCTACACGCATTATTTCCCCATCTCCTCCTTCTTCCCGTTTCTCACCAAGGCTGATGATGGTTTTGAATAGTTCCCCTATCTCCATACATGACAAGTAGAAAGATTTACAAGATGGTCCAAATATGCACAGAGGCAGGGTGGGAGCCAAGTTCACTTCGTGTCCTTCTTCTTCCATCTTTCCTTTGTTCATTCGTTCATTCATTCATTTATACTACGGGCCTCTGTTGAGCTTTCTATGTGCCAGACAAGTAGGAAAGAAACATTGTAAGTTTATTTATTTTTGAGAGAGAGAGAGCCAGAGTGCCAGCCGAGGAGGGCAGAGAGAAGGAGACAGAATCTGAAGCAGGCTCTGGGCTCTGAGCTGTCAGCACAGAGCCCGACGCGGGGCTCGAGCCCACGAACTATGAGATCGTGATCTGAGCCAAAGTGGGACACTTAACTGACTGAGCCACCCAGGTGCCCCCAAGTAGGAAACATTTTGAGGAAAGTCCAGAAACAGCCAGTTGACACGAGCTTGGTAGTCAGTGGCACTTTGAGTGACACATGGTATATTACCTGCCATGGTACCATCTTCTGCAGCAAGATTGGCCCAGTTCATATGCTGGAATCAGATACGTTCCCAAAGAGCCTTGTGACATATGGATTCTCATCCACCTGGATAAGTTAAAGAACCACCAAGAAGAGTTCTTAGTAAGCGGGAGAGCTTTGCTACTGCAAGTGTGATCTGTAGATCAGCAGCGTCTGAAGCTTATTAGAAAGGCAGAATCTCAGTCTCTACCCAGATACTGGAATCAGTCTGCATTCTTTTTTTTTTAGTGTTTATTTCTTTTGAGAGAGAGAGAGAGCGCGTGAACAGGGGGGAGGGTCAGAGAGAGAAGAGAGAGAATCCCAAGCAGTTTCTGTGCTATCAGTGTGGAGCCCGACATGGGGCTAGATCTCACAACTGTGGTACCATGATCCGAGCTGAAATCAAGAGTCAGACACTTCACTGAGCCACGCAGGCGCCCCCAGAATCAGTCTGCATTCGAACAAGACCCATTGAGTTGTGGGCACTGAAGTCCAAGAAGTTGTCCTGAGAATCATTCATTGTCACCATCTCTGCTATTGACTAGTCCATCTTAATAGAGAACTTCTGAGGTGTCAGACTTTTGCTTCTGTGGCCAATTAAGCTCTGTTTTTTCCTTTTACACCAAAAGAGAATTAAACATCATTCTATTGGTAAGAACCCAGTTTTTATCTTTAGTTTTCCTGCTTCTTCCTTTCATTTAGAAAATAGTCTTAATTTATTTATTTTTATTTTTTTAAGTGTTTATTTTTTGAGAGAGAGAGAGAGAGAGAGAGAGAGAGAGAGAGCGGGGGAGGAGTAGAGAGAGAAGGGGACACAGAATTGGAAGCAGGCTCCAGGCTCTGAGCTGTCAGCACAGAGCCCGACGTGGGGCTCGAGCCCACGAATTGTGGGATCATGACCTGAGCTGAAGTCAGATGCTTAACCGACTGAGCCACCCAGGCACCCTGTCTTATTTAATTTAATAGGTAGAGCCAGAAAGGCCTCAGTGAGACACATCCTACAAACCTCAAACCTCTTCGACTATCTTCACCGCTGGGCTTCCAATGGCAATCTGCTTTTGGGGTTTGCGATTACTGGACTCCTGAGATCCTGCCATGGTGGAACTAGTCACTTCCAGGCACAGACCCAAGAATGGGAACCCGTTACCTGAATGCCTTTCTCTTGTAAGATATAAGCTATTGAGGGGTCATTTCCCTCACAGGTACTTGCAGGTTCAATATGACCAGTCAAATAATCATATTATGTAAAACATAATATAAAAGGCAGAAGAGAAGCAGCAGTGTTTTGGAGTGTCCTAGCCAGTAAGATTTCTAGTGCTTTTTCTCCCTAATAGTGCATTATGGTCTTTGTATTTTAGCTTCAAATTTGCCTGGCTTCTACTTCCCCTGGTTTCAGGTAGAAAGCCTGTCTGTCGTAAAAGTGCCAAGGCTTTCCTGGCTTCTGCAGCACACAGGGCCAGTTCAGGGGAGGCTCTCTTATGGGAGAGCTGAGGTCCCCTCCCAGCCTCGCCCCTGTTTGGCTGTTGGACCTGGCAGAGGACCTTCTTTGGATCCCCTTTCTTTACATAAAACTGATCTCTCTGGTTCCTTCCCACCCTAAAACTCTTGGGTTTTATTTTCTTAGTTGATCCCTGATCCCATTGTGAAGAGGGGAAATTCTTTTTCTCATACCCTGTTTTCTAGTATTTTCTCTACTTCCTAGTGGGTTTCGGGGCCTCTGTGTTTCATGTGCCCTACTCACCATTAAAACGCACTTTCTGGGGAGAAGTGATGGTGAGTTCATGCCCAGTGACCCTTGCACACAGATCAGTAGGCTTCTAGTTTTTGCTTCTTCTAATATTATTTGTCTTAAGTGCAGTAGATTGGGGTGGAGGTTGGGGACCCCAGGTAGGATAAGGTCTCTCAATTTCTCTTCTCTAAAGATACTACATTAAGCCATTTCCTGGACAAGTGACAGTCATTTGTCATTTATGTAGAAAATAAGCTATTGTGGCACTTGGGTGACTCACTTGGTTAAGCGCCTGACTCTTGGTTTCAGCTCAGGCCATGATCTCACAATTTCATGTGTTCAAACCCTGTATCAGGCTCTGTGCTGACAGTGCAGAGCCTGCTTGGGATCTCTCTCCCTCTCTCTCTGCCCCTCCCCTGCTCACACTGTCTCTGTCTCTCTCAAAATTAAATAAATAAATTTAAAACTTAAAAACAAACTTAAAAAAAATCTATAAGCCATACAATTAATAAGCTAAGTTTCTCTACCAATTTTTTGTCTTAAAAAACCTTGGAACCATGGGAAGATTATTTAATTTGCATAAATGTCAGGACATGTGACATTTCTCTGATAAATGTTTTGGATTTAGATGGGCTTTGT